AAATCTTTCTAGATTTAAAATAGATTCTTAGCTAAGAGACTCCAGTTACTACGCAAAATTAAGCTAAGGCTAAAGCTCATTATAGTAGATGACTTGGTGGGTGGCTTTTGGTGAGATCTAGAGCTGGAGGAGGAAAAATATTTAATTGGGAGAGGGTTAGAATCTAAATCTAGAAAACCAATATAGTTAAGTTAGATCCTAGAACTAGAGCAGCTGTGCCTATCCTGTCAGGAAGCTCTTTAAATCAGATAAAAATTTCTAACTAAAATAACAAAAGAGTATGTGATCCTTGCCCTCCAAGGGTTTGAAAGGTGAAAGAAAGCAGAAGGAAGAAGAAACAAATGGTACTTAAAAGGCTGTGGCTGCTCTAGGCCTGGTGCATTTTCTAAGAGTAGCTCATCAAGCTGACTAAATTGGTATGGCATTAACACAACCTCATACGCTACTTTTGTCAACTTTATATCTTTTCAGCTTGTGAACAGACATTCAATGTAATATATTATCCCAACAGAACTACCATTCTTGAGAGTGATCCTTGCTCATACTGTAGTGTTTCCTCTCTGCCTCAAAATACAACAGCCTGAAATTCTGGTATGCTTCTCAATGTTGCACCATATTTGGGTGATTACTTGCAATCATTATTTGATAGTACATTTCCATGTAAGATGCCAAAGCTCAGCAAAATGTTTCTCACTCTCTGTGGTGCACTGAATAAGCTCCATTACTCAGCATATAAAACTGAGCTATCCATATAGACAGAAAACTAAAATGAGAACATATGTTGGAGACAGGTATGCCATAATAAGACCTTATTGTATTGAATACCACATTTCCACTTAGGATATAGAAACCACAGGCAGAATATTTCCTGCTAGTACACTAACCACAGACAAAACTCAAATCGGTAAATACTACAGGGTCTGATCCATTATGCTTCTCTCTATTTCAGTGCTGTCACAATTATATATAACTGCAATACAAACATAAAAATAAAAGTCAGAGTATTTTCAGTGGTGAGTCAGACACCATATCCTAATATATGTAGGATTTAGGAGCATGCTTGTTGTCATTATTGCATCTCCCGATAGAGTCGCAGGCTCAGAACTTCAAAGCGGAGCCTGCCAGAGGAAATTGTAGGAAATGTTTGCATTCCTGCACAGTTCCCTCACCCAGCGGCCTGCAACGGTGGCAGCACCCTTCGGCAGATGTTGTTTGTAAGGTCAGGTTAAGCATTTGTGCATGACTGTCATTCATTTCAAGGTTTGGGTTTTAATTGTAGGTTATATCTCTCTCCAGCTCTTTTCTGCATAGCTGATTCCATACGTATGGGGGCAGACTACCCAACTTTGAGCACTTATCACACATAATACCAGCTGGAAACTTCTTTTAGCACATAGTCTCTCCCCGCCAGCCTTCAACAGTTTTCCAGGCATCAATGAAAACATGCTTGCAATATCCCAATGAGCCAAATACAGCACGAACTAAAGCACAGGAACTAAAGCACCAACTCTAATTTCCGCTAAGGCTTCCGTATTCTATTTTGTCAGGATATATTTATACTTCTCTAGTTAAGGTCTCTTCACACTTTTGAACACATCATTAAGAAAGACTAAGTCTCCTTAGCTGAATCTCATCTATACAAAGTGATTTGCCAAATTACGCAGTTGTCCTTTGTGATCTTCTTAAAATTGAATCCAGGTGCTCTGAGACTGAAGCAGCTCTTCTGTTTTGACTAGCTATGCAAATAAATTGTATTGATTTTTAAAAAACACTTCAACTCCTAAGAGTTTTCTTCTACATAATTTTAAATAGCATTTGTTTATTTTCTTGCACAGAAAATTCAAATTATATACTTTAGACAGTAATATAGATTGTGGTTGTAACTCTTGAAGCTGAATTTCAACTTACACCTTTAGAATGCTTTTTCATACTCTATGCTTTTTAATTCAGAAGAAACTGCATTATAATTTATACCTAATAGATTGCTATACCATCTGAATAATGAGTATGGGGTTTGTGGGTTTTCTTCTCATAAATAAACTGATTGGCTCATTTTTGCTTTTTATTTATATTTAGAAAATATAGGAGCCCAAGCTCTTAAATGTTATTCTGTGATCCCTCAAATGTATTTAATTCATTTACTGTATCAGAACACTTTCTACAGACATGGCCAGAAACCAAGGGAAACTGTTTTTTAAAAGAGTTAAAAGAGTCAAGTAACTGGAATTCTGCCTCTCCCTTTGGTGGAAATAATAATATTGGAATAATAATTCCAATTTCTTGCATCCTTTTGGTATGGTAGTGATGCTAGCAAACTACTTTATGCTCCTTTTTTTTTTTTTTTTTTAAGCTGTGACTATGGTGATTTATAACCTCGCCGTAAGTACAAAGAGTTAGTAGGTACTACTTCAAAGCAATGCAAAGCCTCAGACACCAGCGACCACGAGCAAATTTCCCTTATTTCTATGTTCATTCATCAGCCCAATTTGACTTGCTTGGAGGAAAGGGTCCTGTTTAAGCCATGTCTCCTCTTTCGATAGGATGACATCTTAGATTTGTTACATTCAGTATCAAAAACGGTGCAATACGTGACGACCACCTAATTAATGAAATGATAGACGAGCAAGATTTTACAGAGCACTATCACTATCAGTGCCACACGCTGTCCTCCTCCTCAAAGATGTGAGCAAGCAGAAGCGTGTGCGGAACAGCCGTGTGGATGCAACATGAGAGCGAGCCCTCATGCCGAGGGGAAGCCAACCCCCACGGGGTCTGGTGACAGACGGTTATTAATGGTCATTCCCTTCAACGTGTGGTGGCTGTGCTTAAACGGGAAGGGGCTGAAAGGAAAGGTCAGCGGCCGCAGGTGAAAGCTCCAGTCCTGCTTTGGCCTGAGAAAGAAAGGAATGAAAATAGGAGTTGCTGTCTTGAGGCGAAATACCTTCAGTGCCTCACCTCTCACTGGGAGGATGATCCAGCCCAGAACTTAGCAGGATCCAAAAGTCGGAAACCCCAGAGACCAACGGATGTGTTCCTCTTCCCCATGGGGACATTCTCCAGATGTTCTTCTCTGCCCTGAAGTCTATTCCTTTGCAGTAGCTCTTATTAAAATCCTGATTAAGCATTTTCCTTTATAAGTTTTAAATGTGCAATGCAGTAATCCTCAAATAACCCCCCCAAACAATGAAATGGCACAGTTCAGCCTGTCCTCCTCACGACAGTGCCTGAGAAAAGGTCAGATTTCTGTTGTTCACACCCCTCCTATGTATCAGTGCATAAAAAACCTGCCTGTACTTTCCTGGATTCACAGGATGCATACAGGGACGGACAACAGATGCTCAGCATTTTCAAAGGACCTGGCTGAAATGTGACACCATCTCTCCCTCCAAGAAGAGCTTCCAGTTCAAATAAATAATTTGGAATAGGTATCCGTGGCAGGAAATGGCTAGACAAGTATGAGGGGAAGAGAGGAGACCGTAGATTTTGTTTAGAGGAAAGAAGCCTTGCCATAGAGAGAGGGATTGCTTGAATTATATTAAATGAAAATTTAAGAGGTTTTTTTTTCTATTATGAGTGAAGTCTCAGGTTTCTCTCTGTAGTTAACAGGGGTACAAACGAATTGGCTTCAGCAATGTAAACTGGATTATCTCCACGAGGGAGCAGAGCTGACATTTCTAAAGGATGGATGGAAACTTTTTTTTTCCTTTCCTTTATGGACTCCTACATGAACTCAAAAGATAAACAAAAGCCCCGCTCTGTCTGTCAAACATGCAATGCTTGACTGCAGTGAGCACAAACTTTCTATCCATCATCCCAGCCGCCAGGTTGCCACTGAAGTGACCTGGTTCTGCTCACGCTGCAGGAAGCCACTCCTTGCTATTAGCCCAACGTAAAAGCTGTCAGGTACTGCTGAATTATCTCTGCTTTCTTCGGCCTTACTCTAAACTGCATACTCATAACCGTGCAGAGCTTTATAAACTTTTATGGGGTTGGAGATAGTTCTAGGGGGGGTGGGAGCGGAGGAGAAGACATGGGGAAGGAAAGTGCGGAGAGGCCCAAAGGACAGGGCTGGCTTTTCCTCAGCTCCGTGTGGTCTGGATCACCTGCTGAAAACACCATGGTCCCCAGTGGTGTTTTCAGGCAGGGCAGTCACAGCCAGGGCACAACCAGGGCTCGGAGGGCAGCAGCTCCCGTGTGCCATGGCTGCTCTGTGGTGGCCTCCTGTCCCCTGCAGCCCGCAACCTTCACCAGGGAAGCCTTGCATGGTCCTAACGTATGTCTGAGTCAGGGAGCTTGCACACCAGCTGAGAGTACAGAAAGCCAAATAGGGCTGAGGGTTTCTTAGATTTTTTTTAGACTGTTTTAGATTTTTCCTTTTAATTGCTTTTCTTTATAAATGTTTTTAGGAATGTTTTTAGATTTTTTTTCCCTTTTTTAAAGGTTCTTTTGGGGATTTTTAATTTCTTTTTTTTTTAAAGCTTTCCAGGGATTTTTTAGATTTTTCTTTTTTAAAGGTTTTTCGGGGAACTTTTTAGGGTTTTTGGTTTTTTAGATTTTAGTTTTTTCCTTCTAGTTTTAAGTTGTCGGTGTTTTTATTTTTTTAAGGGGGGCACCAGCACATCGCTCCAGCCCCACCAGCCCGCAGCGTAGGCCCCGCCCTCCGACGGGGGGAGGCCCCGCCCCCCTCTCAGGCCCCGCCCCCGGGCCCCGCCCGCGCTACCTGCGGGCGGCGCGGCTTGCCCCGCTCCCGGGGCCGCGCATGCGCGCGGGCTCGGTGGCGGCGCGCAGGTACGTCGCGGGCGCCATGTTGTGAGCAGGGGGCGGGCGGGCGCGCGGCCCCGCCCCGGCGGCGGGGACGGCAGGGGGAGGGGCGGCGGCGGCGCCAACGGCAGCGCCAACGGCAGCAGGAGCCGCCGGAGCGCGCGCTGCTCCCCGCACTCGCCGCCGCCGGGCTCGCTGCCTCCCTCGCCGCGCCGTCGCGGGGGCCGCGGGCGCCGGGGAAGATGCCCCTGGCGCAGCTGGCCGACCCGTGGCAGAAGATGGCCGTGGAGAGCGCGGCCGAGAGCGGCGCCGAGGTGCGGGACGGGACGGGGCGGCGGGCGCCGCGGTGCCGCCGCGCGGAGCTCGGGGCGGAGCGGCCGCGCACGGGGAAAGTTCCCCCCGCGGCGGGAGGCGGGTGCCGGCGGGAAACGGGGGGATTTACCGGGGCTTTTTGCGCCGGCGCCGGGAGCGGCTTCTCCCCCGCTGCCCGGGGCGGCCCCGCCGCCTCCGCACGCGCCTCGCGAGCGGCCCGAGCGGGAAGCGGGGGCCGCGGCCTCCCCAGGCCCGCGCGGCCTCGGCAGGACGGGGCTGCGTCCCGGCGCTTGCGAAACCGCGCGGCGGCTCCGGGCGCCCCGGGCCCGGCCGCGCCGCGACGGCGGGAGGCGGCGGCACCGGCGGCGGGCGGCGCGGCTCCCCGCCGCGCCGCCCGCCGCCGGTGCCGCCGCCTGCCGCCGTCGCGGCCGGGCTCTGCCCGTTTATTTACTTGCTTGTTGGTGTGCTAGCGGGGAGCCGGCCCGCTGCAGGGCGGGACGCGCACGAGCTTGGGCAGCGCGAGGTCTGGGGCCGCCCTGGCTTCCTCCCCGCGCCGGCTCAGCCCTTGGCCAGGCTCCCGCTGCCCTGGGTGCAGGGAGGCCCTGTCCGCCCCCCACAGTGAAGGGCAGGGTGTCCCCTGGCCGCTCCTCCTGCGGCCGCCGGGCTGCCCCAGAGCCCCCCGGCCGGCCCTGCGGAGCGGAGATTGGGGCTGTGCACAAGCGCTAGCCTCAAGGTTAAGGGCGTTTTTCCAGCACGAGTAGAGAGGGATGGAGCAAGCTGGGAAGTTTCCGCAGTATCCAAGCGTTCGTGTCCTTTCGGTGTTCGCCTTCCCTCTGCTTAAAGTGGCCTCATCCCTGGAGGTCAGGAGAACCCGCATCTCCGACCCAAGAGACGTGGCTGACCGTTGGCAGCACTTGCCTTTTGCTGGGATTTCCCTCGCTCGCTGCTGAAGTGACAATCCTGGATTAACTTTTTAATGAAGCATAACTGACGTAGTAGTGTGATGCCCAGGCAAGGGAGGCTTTTCCTGCAAGGCCCTTTAGACGCTCTATCTTAATGGTGACCTCAGTCTTCCTTACTCACTCTGTGTATTTCGTGTGTCTTGAATAACACTAGGGTGTATGCATACTAGAAAGGTAGTAAAAATAGGTTATTTGGAAAGTACCTGTGTGCATGGTTAGTTATACTGCTCCATTTACCTCCTTATTTTAGTCTACTTTGGTGCCGTGATTTGTTTTTAAACTACTATCGTAAATTTTTAGAAACAAGTGTCTTCTACCTCTTGCTCTGTGGGGAAGGGAGAGCGGGGAGTCGAGCCTTTACAGTGACTTGAGACTGCAGCAGCGTATCATCAGGTGCCTAAAAAAATTCACTGGGAACACTAACAAAGCATGAAACAGCAACCAAACTGACAGGTTTACAATGTAAGACTCTAGTCTAGAATAAACATCCAGTCCTTGAAAAGCCCAGACTGCACTTGTGAAAGCTTTTCCACTAGATCTCAAAAGAAAAAGATGGACTTATAAAGGTGACTTACCTTAAATGGGCGTTTAAGAAGAAAATGTTTGTGAAAATGGATACATTTAAGTCAAATAAGCAAATGGCCTAAATAAACAGCTCATGCAAATTGGAAATGTAGTTATATATCTGTAGCATACACAGTGCCCTAATTACAGACCCTGTCCTGAAAGCACATCCTTGGTCAGAGATATTTTTGCATCCACTTGGAACCTCACTGTGCTTTCAAGCATAGTTTGATAGCATTAATGTCTTCAGCAGTAATAAGAGGGTGAAGAGTTTCCACTAACATGTCAGACTTGCTGATGCAATTTTTTTTTTTTTGTAATGCTGTGTTATCCGCCTGGAATCATGGAATTAAGGGCTTTAAAACTTATCTTAAATCTTCTTTTTGTTTGTTTGGTGGTTTTGTTTTGTATTAACAATTCTGTGAGTTTTCGTATTGGATTAATTTTCATATAAGGGTTTTTTTGGTATTGTATTGGCTTAATTCTTCAAGAATTGTGAGGATTGTGCAGTCCCATGCTCAGTTTTGTATTGGTACCATTGAGGAGGGTCTTTTATTGTGACATACAGGCAAATTTCAGTAATACCTTTAACTAGCATTACTGTAAGACAGAATTACTGACAGTCAAACACTGCTGTAGATTAGTGAGAGTTTACAGGACAGATCTGTAGAAGATGGTCTTTCTTAAAAAATCACTTACATTCTTCTTCCTGTTATTATTTCTTACCGGTAATGTGCATTTATAGCTTTCAGAGGTGAGTTGCAGAACCTCTGGCTCTATGGAAATATACTGGTGTTCCTTATTGCATCTTTGATGCCTGTTCAGTGTATAACCATACTGGACAAACTATTTTAAAGGTAGCATATTAAAGTGTGTAAGTACTTAGATATATTTTTAACTTTCTGTTTAAAATCACCATGGCACCTTTGAAGCCAGTGGAATTGTGGAATCAATTTTATTGATGCAGGATCTGTCTGACTCGAGCTACGGCAAAGCACGGATCTATTTTTCATGGTGAGAGTGTGCCGGCTATTCCGAGACAAGTGCTTTCAAGCAAATTAAACATTGATGACTTGGGTGCCTGAATAACTAGCCTGATCTTTTGATTTGTACTCCCAGCAATGCATGTTAATGTTGACCAGAGGAGGATAAATAGTTACAATAGCCAAACTGTGGACACTGATATGTTGAAAGAGTTGGCTATTGTGAAGAGATCTCATTTGCTAGATGTTTTGGGAAGCGTTTTTGCCATTTCTTTTTAAGAGTTTTAAATGCTCTTGATTGACTGTGGAGATAGTTCATCTTTTTGCTGATCTAGGTAATGGATTTGTGGTTGCCTGTGTAGATGCCTAAATGTATGGTGTGAGTTTCCTTCCTCAGAATTCCCTTTTTTATATCCTGTATCCAGAAGTACTTGAACCTTGCACAAGACAATGGGTGGTGCTGACATTCAACAGACAGAACAAATAAGAAACAGTCATGCACATACCTAAAAGAATCTGCTATAAAGTAATTTTTGCCTTGTAATTCAGTTCTGAGGTCAGTGGGACATGCTTTAAGTCGATGTATGCTGCTGGGGTGGCGTCTGAAATTTACTACATTTCTTGCCATCATATAAAATTAGTTAAGATTACCTCTTGTATTCTGTACTAGACAATGTAATCGGTGTTCCTGTGTGTCCACAGAAACAAAGGTTGTATTTACAGTAATTTCTTATATAGTCAGACTAGGAAATGATCAGAAAACCCAAGTAGTGTAATATAAATGGAGTATTATATCTTGGTTAGGAAGGCCTTTATTATCTCTAGATTACACTAACAGTTTTTGTCCCTGTTCTTGCAGCACTCGCCTATCTCTTCTGATGCATCTCTGTTGTCATACTCTGTATCTGAGGTTTTGTTTTTCCAGAAACGTCAAGTCAATTTTGCTGAACTGTTAGTAGTGGAGTTTAGCAATTTAGTTCTTATCTATACTAATTATAACCAGTATTTAAAAAAAAAAAAAATGTGCTAGAGAAACTTGGGGATTTTACTGATACCATCAGTAAACCAGATGATATGTCTATGTGAATGGTGCCTTCAGAAACATACCATGTGCATGAAAGATGTTTGTAGTTGTGTTTTTTTTTCTTCTTCTTCTTTTGTGCAGCTTTTCAGTTTCTTTTGAGTACAAATATACCTGTGATACTGTTTAGTTAGCACGTTCTTAACGAATATGACCTACTGTTAGATTCTTGTTCT